TATTTAATATCAACAAGTTGGGCTCATGACACTATATTTACTTCTATTTAGTTTTTCTATATTTCTTTCTATACAGTTTTAGACTGCAAGAGCTGCAGTGTGCAAGATGTAGTTAACAGCACAAATCTGTTTGCAGTGCACAAAAGGCAATGCACAAATCCTCAGACCCTGACGTGCCCTGAGGCAGCAGCCTTGGTGCCAGCATTGACACCTCCTCATGTACAGTCCCCTGCTGCTTTTGGGGGAATATTTTCGTTCTGCCTTGTTTCAATTGTTGTTTGTGGCACACTGTTGGTTTGCTTTTTTAATATTTTCTGACTCTGATCTACTTCTTGTTTCAAGATCTGTGCAGAAATTTTTAATTTTGCCCTTAGGTATCCTTCACAATTAGAAGGGGAAAAGTAGATCCAAACAGGCCCACAAGGTATGTTTTTTGTAGGACATGTGTTGTTTGAGATAAACAAAAGTGCATGAAAGAGAAAAAGAACAACAGAGCACACCTAGACAGTAACACTTAGCAAAGCTGTTTCTAGTTTCAAAAGGCTTGCAGAAGATAGTTCATGTGGTGAAGATTTTAGTCTTCAGGTGTTTGGGTATTTTCTGAAATGTGTTTTTACCAAAAGTAAAGACTATAAATGTATTTTCTCTTAAAGTCTGCAGTAAATTCTGGCTAACAGACCTAGGATATTTGTCATAGATTAAGGGATTTTGCTTCCCTCTTTTTGTTTTCACACTGTGAGTTTAAAATGGTACCAGGAATAAATTTAGAATCAAAATCAATTGAGCTTGGTATAAAAATCATTTCAGGAAAAAAAGATTCCACTATTGCTACAGCAAATATCAAATCTATTTTACATACGTTTGGTCTGAAGAGGAACTAGGTCAAAAAAAGAAAGTTAAAGAAGTGTATTTCATTCTGCTTGAGACTTAGATGTGCCCTCAGAATGGCAGTGCACATACATTCTTGGGTAATCCTGTTTAAATCACAAATATAATTTTCAGGCACTGATCATTTGTTGCCTCTTTCATGTCTTGACCTTTATATGGTTTCAGAGAATTCAAAGAAGACATTAAATCCTTACCAAATTTAACTTGTCAATATGCACAATACAGAAGAATAGTTTGTCTAATAAACTCTGACAGGCATGATGTATCAGCCATTTTTTTCAATATACCAAATATTTCTGTAGTTTTTTGTGGCAGATGTTGGAGATATATTTTAAATTTAAAATTACAATGTTTGCTACAAGATTTGCCTGAACTAAATGGATGTGTTCCTGTCAGGATAAGTGGAAAGCACAACTCAGCAGGATCCAATGCTTAAGTATGCCCCAGCTCTGCCCTAAACTGTTGCCCAGTCAATAGAAGGGAATAATTTTCAGTACTGTGAGTTCTTTACAGGGAGGAACTACTGCACTGGGAATGTTTCCCAAGTGCATATCAACTATCAAACAATGAATTATTTTATATGTGGATTTCTTGGCTTTGGACATTTTCTGTGCAGTGATTATGATGTTTCCACTCCAAAAAGTCATATATATTTTGAAATATATTTCAGAAAATTATCTTGGTTGCTTTTAAGGTCACAAGAGACATTCCTTGCCTTTTCTGGGTATTCTCTGTTTAGCAAGAATGCACTTAGTATAGAAGGATGAATTATGGTAGCCCATGGGAGTCAGTGCCATATTGTGCAACACACAGAAATACCCATGGGTTTGCACAGGAGAGCTCTGTTTGTTCAAGAATAAGATCTGGTATTTCTCACACAGGAGGTCATGTTACCTTAAAATGCCTCTGCCTCGTAGGTCTGCCTGATGAATAACATCTGCTCCCATAACAACTGTCTCTGCAGCAGGAGAGATGGGCTCTGTGGCAAGACAAAAACAAAAGTAGTCCTTACAAGCAGCCACGATGAGAAACAGAACCCTCTCTGTGCACCTGATTCCAGCCCTGCTGCGGCCCACAGGAAGGAGCCCAGAGGACTGCAGGGGCTCTGGGGTTAGGAGGGGCACACAGCCCTGCCTCTGCATGTGTAATTTTAGTACTCTGAGCAGTGACCATGCATATTTGTCTCTCCAGCCCTACACTCTCTCATCAACATACATTGCAAAATATGCTTCACTTCACAATCACACTGATGAAGGCAAAGTGAAGTTTTTACTGGAGATGGTGACAGCAGATGTTTCCCTGTACCTCAGAAAGCTGGAACTGCCTTTGTAATTTGCAGTCCAGAGATACCAGCCTTCTTAAGGGCTGGAAAGTTTTGTGCAAAAAGAGGTAAAGAGACTCTTTTGCTTTGCTTCCATTCATATTAACACGATGAAATCCTATTCCTAGCAAGATTAGTTTTTAGCTTTCATCCATCTCCTTGCATCCTATAGATTCCCATAAAATCAGGGAAATTGTTACCGGATTACCAATATTTCCAGTGAAAGTGGGTAAAAATTTCACCTGAAATGACTCAAGAATAAAGTCAGCTGGGAAATGGCAATTTAGTTTCACAAGCTTCAAGTTTTTAAAATTAATTTTTTTCTTCAGTGGAATTAAAACAGAAATTCTGAACAGTTTTTCAAAAATATATTGTAGAGAAACACTTGTTTCCTTATAACAAAGCGTAATCTTTTCATCTCTAATCCACTCTCACTGATTTCCATTTTGCTCCCTCACTCACTTTCTGTCACCAGAGGTAGCTGCAGAGCACCAGATCATGAACCTTCTTCAGCTGATTTTTTTTTTTTTAATCAATACATCGCTATGAATGATTTTGCCTCTTCATTAAACATGCATTCTGTTAAGAATGTTCATAAACAACTCTGCTTGGGAGAAATTCTTAGCTTGTCCAAAAAACTGATGCCTTACCCATCTAGCTGGATAACCAGCTTCTCAGCTGTGAAGCTTTGGGAGAAAAATAGACTGGGAATTGATGAAATGACAGTCCTATATATTAAAGGTGTCCCATCAATATTTTTGCACAGAGTAGAAATTCTGCTACATTTCACTCAGCCTATTCTTACTGTAAGAAGCACACACTTAACTAAAGCAGTCCTCTTCTTCATTTCGTTATCTTGAACCTGATCCCAAGGATTTTAGTGTTGTACCGGTAAATAGATAGAAAAAAAATAAATGTCCGTCGAGCCTTATAATCCTCTATTTATTCATATTCTATGTTCCTCTATTTATTCATTGAAGTATTCACTTCAACATAGAATTGGCAAAAAAATTGTAGCTGTTTTTGATAGCAAAGGCAAATGCATGAGCCCCATCCTCTCTCTGCTAGTTGTATTTCTCTAAGTATAAATTTCAAGATTACAAAGTTTCCTCAGACAGAAAACCTTTCACCCCGGTTTAGCATTTTGACTTTTCCACAGAGACAGGCTTGCTTATTTTTCCGAGAGTTCAGAAGGGGTTTTGCCACTGTGCTGACATTTTGCATCACCTTCTCTCTTTTGCATCTGGAAAAAACAGGGGAAAAAAATAAAAAAGCACAGTACTGAAATGACAGTAAAAATGCATCGCTCCTTTGAAGTGACGTGGACTGCATATGTCTGTGCATCAGCAGGTTAGTCAGAGGAACCAGAGGAGAATTTTCTAATCCCTGGTGTATAGGGGAGCCGTACACAGATACTTTTTTTGTCTTCCTTTGATTCCACCACCATGTTCAGAGACGCTTTCTTAAAGAAGTGATGCCTTATGTGCGGGGTGGGGGGGGGGGCAGCAGAATATTGTAATTAGAAAAAAACCCTAACTTCCCTGTCACATCTGGCCTTCATGCTTCAATAATCCTTTGAGCACAGCTCATAAATAATGAGCACTCACATGCTGTACAATTCCAGTGCATTCTATTGACTTCCAGGGGATGCACAAAAAGATAGAATTTATCCTGAAGGCAAAAGCATGCACTGTTTTCTTAGTCTTCTAGCAAATGTGTATCACTAGCAATTTAATTACTATTTATTGAGCACTGCCAGTAGGGTATAAGGGGCACAAAAATAATTGCTGTGTGTAAATAGAACTGATTTTTATCTGTTTCTTTATTTAGCATTACCCTGCTATCTATGTCAGACCTTTTGTTTTAGCTTCATGTGATGCAGATTAAAAATATTGTGATTTGAAAAATAATAGGAAAAGTGCAATCAAGCAAGCATCAAAAGATAATACCATGTTTTAAAAAAACCTGAACAAACAACAATGCCTTATCCAGGTACAAATACTCAAAAGTAAGTAAAAAATAACTTTCATCTTACTGAAATGGGAAAAAAAAAGAAGAAATAAAATATATTTGCATCTAACTAAATAGGCAAATGATCTACTGAGGTGAGTTTACAAACTCTGTTAACTTCAACAGACCCACCCCCTTTTGTTTATTGATAGATGAATTAGTTTGATGAAGTGCCAAAACCTTTGTGTTGCCTAAAAAAAGAAATGCTAGGTAAGAAAACTGGGGGGAGATATGGTAAAAAACCTGTTCCCTAAACCTCACAGAAACATGCCCAGATGGAAAATGAAAGAAAAACAGAAGCAGAGATCTCCTTCCCATGATCTGCCTCTCAGTAGATTACAGCTTCACTTTGGGTTATAAGAATGTTACACCCTCCAGTCCAGACCTTTTATTTGGAATAGGGTTTGAAATGAGCAAAGTGAACAATTTTTTTAGCAGGAAAGAAAATAATATGCAGGTTCAGTTCCAAAATATTATTGACTTGAACTAATATTCAAGTCAATATTAGCTCTAAAAAACAACAAAAAGAAAAATGCATCTGAGAACTTAAAAATGTAGTTTTGCATCCAAATGTGTGCCTTTCTCACATATTTAGAGCTAGCCTATTGTTCTGTTATTCCTAAACTGCACATTGTAAAGTGTTTCCTTTAACCAAAGCTGACTGTTTTTTCCTGAATACATCTTCTAGCTGAGAACATTTGCCAAGTCAGTATTTTGGGATCCATTCCTTAAAGGCAAAGGGGCTAACTTCCTGATGGTGTCTGTTTTCTTTCCTCTGCAGGCTTAAGTTGTAACTGGGTATCTTGTTATCAGAAGCAAAATGAATAACTCAACGTATATAAACTCTTCCTCTGAAAATGTGATGGCCTTGGAGAGCCCCTATAAGACTGTCGAGGTGGTGTTCATCGTCCTGGTAGCAGGGTCTCTCAGCCTGGTCACCATAATTGGGAACATCCTGGTCATGGTGTCAATCAAAGTCAACAGGCACCTTCAGACTGTCAACAATTATTTCCTGTTCAGCCTGGCCTGCGCTGACTTGATCATCGGCATCTTTTCCATGAACCTGTACACCCTCTACACTGTGATAGGCTACTGGCCCTTGGGGCCCGTGGTGTGTGACCTCTGGCTGGCTCTTGACTACGTGGTCAGCAACGCCTCTGTAATGAACCTGCTCATCATCAGCTTTGACAGGTACTTCTGTGTCACCAAGCCCCTGACGTATCCCGTGAAGCGGACCACGAAGATGGCCGGCATGATGATCGCGGCCGCCTGGGTGCTGTCCTTCATCCTCTGGGCCCCTGCAATTCTCTTCTGGCAATTCATTGTGGGAGGAAGGACTGTCCCAGATGGGGACTGCTATATCCAGTTTTTTTCCAACCCTGCTGTCACTTTTGGCACTGCCATTGCAGCCTTCTATTTGCCTGTTATCATCATGACTGTCCTTTACTGGCAAATCTCTCGAGCCAGTAAGAGTCGGATAAAGAAAGGAAAAAAGGAAGCCGCCCAAAACCAAGAAACAGTTTCCCCCAGCCTTGTCCAAGGTAAAATAGTGAAACCAAACAATAACAATATCCCGACCAGCGGGGATGGGTTGGAGCACAGCAAAATTCAGAATGGAAAAGCCAGCGAAGAGACTGTAACCAATAACTGTGTTCAAGGGGAGAAGGAGAGCTCCAACGACTCCACCTCCATCAGTGTGGTTGCTTCCAACTTGAAAGAGGATGAAGCTACCAAAGATGCCAGACAGGCTTCTGCCTCCCAAGACCATGTCAAAGCAGAGAACTCCAAGCTGACATGCATCAGGATAGTCACCAAATCCCAAAAGGGGGACTGCTGTGCCCCTACCAACACTACTGTAGAGATCATAGGCACGAACGGGGAGGAGAAACAGAACAGCGTAGCCCGGAAAATTGTCAAGATGACAAAGCAGCCAGCCAAAAAGAAACCACCCCCTTCTAGAGAGAAAAAGGTGACAAGGACGATTTTGGCCATCCTCCTGGCCTTCATCATCACCTGGACCCCATACAATGTGATGGTGCTCATCAACAGCTTCTGCACATCCTGCATCCCTGGCACTGTATGGACCCTCGGTTACTGGCTCTGTTACATCAACAGCACCGTCAACCCCGCCTGCTACGCGCTCTGCAACGCCACCTTCAAAAAGACCTTTAAGGACCTTCTTATGTGTCATTACAAGAATATAGGAGCTACAAGGTAAAAGTAATAATGAAAATAATTGTGGAAAGGGTGAAGAAGTTCCAAATTAAATTCAAAAAACCCTCGATGCTATAGCACTTTATGCTCTTCTATGGAATGTGCAATCCAGGATGTTAGTGGAAATACTGATAAAGGGTATCAGCTGTACCCCTGAGGACTACACTTTAAAACAGTTTTTAGTAAATTAAAATAAATCTTTAGGACACGGGGATGTTTGAGAAATTATTCAAGTATGAGGACTGGAGGCACAGTTCCTTACTTTCTGAGAGTATTCTGCAGAAGGGCTTTAAAGTCTATGATTTTTGGTCATTCTTTGTAAAATACTTGTTCTTTCATTCTCTTTTTCTTGTTTTTTTTCTGTGTGTGTTTATTACATCTTCATCTAGGTAAAAAAAAAACTATTTTAATAATACCTGTGTGGAAGGAGCATAGGAGTTTGGAAGATCATTGCATAATTTAAATCAATCATGGCAGAAATTTTCTAGAGCTCAAAATTGTCTAAAGCTGTTTTGCCACTGTCATGTAAGAAGCTTAATGTTAGGTAAATCATGATGAAAGCTTTTTATGTTGTTTATGACACAACCATTTCCAAAACCACATCAGTTCTGAAAGTGTTCTTATGCACAATATGTAATCGTTTGTATCGTTCCAAGTCTGCTGCTTGCCCCATCCCAGGGGCTTTTGTTCTGTGACTACTTCATCATGTCAAGATCAAAATGAAAAGACGTGGTCTCGCCCAGATTGCTACATGCCAAGACTTCAGCACCCATGTAAACCAAAGCTTTTGAGACAATTTTGTTCACTTTGTTTGTCACATAACATCAACCTGAGGATTTATTTGTCTTTTACCTTCATCAGCCTTTTCTTCCTTTCTGTACCTTACTTGTCCAGAGCAAGACTGAATATCAGAAGAAGCTGTAAATTTAAAGGTTTCATCCAGCCAGCCACCATGATAGCCAAACAAAGGGTCTCAGCTGAAGAATAGAAACAAGATTATTACTAGAAAAATGAAAGGCTACATCCATTTAAAGTTGGATGTAAAGATGAAGAGGTATATCGAGGCTTCACAGAATGAATAGTTAATATTAGATGACCATGCTCTTGACCTCTGAAAAGATGATTCTGTGATTAATTTATTGAGGAAAAGAATAAGATAGACTGACATACCCACCTGGATCAAGCTCTTCTAAGCCCTTAGTGTGAAACGGATGTCCTTTCTGGATGCATCCTGCACAAGATGTTTGCTTTCTGGAAAAGATATTGGTCACGTTGTCTTGTACTAACTGAGAGCCATATTGTGACTGTAAGCCAAGGGGTAACACTAATAAAAATACAGAGTTGAAAATAATGACTATAGAAAAACAGATATTAAAATAGTCTTGATGGGAGTCTGGCAAGGATTGAGTTCAAATATTTTTTGCTATTCTGCACTAGGTGAAATTTAGATAATTTTTACCTGACAAAGAATTTAGTATTCCAATATTTGATATTTACTGTAGCAAAACAACACATTTTGTGGACAGGTCAGACAGTATCAGATTACTGAAAACAAAGATTGTCTGTGAGTTATGCATATTTTATTTATCTCCTTGCTAGTACCTCTAGCTTCTAGGCCCTAACAAAGGTAAATTTATATGTTTTCTTACCCAAAAAGAGCATGGACAGTGTCCTGAGGATCTCTTTTCTGGAGTGAAAGCCACCCAACAAACAGGACACCAATTCATTTGGTTATTTCATGCTACAGCTTCAGAGTATTCCAAAATGCACCTCAAAATAGCAGTTTCCGAGATTACAGAGAAACTAATCTTGCAGAATTAAGTTTTACTTTTGACAAGCTTAATGGAACACCGTGTCAAAGCACTTTGGTATCATGACAATTTTCATGTTTTGCAGTACAAGTTCTCAGCAGAAAGTGAAAATGAGGAGGATTAAACTGCAGTAAATTAAGGCCACATTAAATTATGGATTACCATGTCTTAATATGAAGTCATTGAATTTATACCCCTAGTGGTTTCATCCTAATATAACTGTCTCTATACAGCCAAGGATCTAATTTTGCAACCCTCACTTGCCTTGAGTCATATCTACTATCACTGTTTTCATCTTCCTGCTTCTAAGGAAGAATAACTAAACGACAAAGCTTGCCAAAATGAGCACTGCTTGCTTTTTAAAACTTCATTCACTAGGTTTATCTTGACAGGTCAAAGGAAGGACTTACACATTCCTAGGTTTTTCATTCTCTTACAATGTTCAAAAAATCCAGATAAAATCTCAAGATAAAATAAAATGTGTTCAATTTCTAAATATGACTTCTTTAGAAAAGTTTCATAAAAAAGACACACCTGTTTCTTTCTTTCAGCAAGTGCTGTGGGTATGGTACAGGTACTCAAATTGGGAAATAATGGTTTGTACAGCCATACTTAATCTTTTAACTCTGGTTTTCTGACAGGTGTGCAAATCTCTTATTCTCACATTTGAAGCTATCCCTTATTCTACATTTTTAAGCTTGCTCATAATGAATTAATCTAACAGCTAAGGACATTCCTATAGGTTAAGAAGTGCGACAGATAGATTTCAATTATACTCCTTCATCATGTGATATGATGACACTCAAAATACCACAGGAAGAAAAGTATTTTGGGGTTAGCATTCATGAAAAAAACAAGCAAAGGAAAAACATCAGTTTGAAGTTTTCTAGCACTTTTCCCTAGCACTATCCTCACTTTTGATCTCAGAAGACAAGGTGCATTGATTTTTGTTATAGTATATTTAAAAGGCTTGCAGGACACACAATCTTCTGTGTTTCCACCCTGTAACAGTTTATGGTGCATTTACATTTGCAGACAATTAAAGAGTGTAAAAACAGATGACATAGTGCCCCTATGTATGAATCCACAGGCATGCAAACACACAACCCTACATGATTTACATACATGAATAATAACCACCTGATATTCAAGATATTGCATGGAACTTTGTCTGCCTAGTGTGCATTGCCAGCTGCTGGGAGGTGCAGAGCCAAAACTTACTGTACTGTCTAGCCCCTCCTGAAGGCAGAGAAGAGGCAGAATGCGCCCTCAGATATTGGGAACCTCATGGGTCTTCAGATGATTGTGGCTCAGTAAATCAAAAATGTGCTAATGGTTCAGAACTGCAAAATATTTGGTTCTTGAATATCCTTTGAGCTTTCATGTCTCTCCTTTGTGTCCCAAATCACGTTCACCAGGTTTCACTTCCCTCCTGAGTGATAGTTCTGCAAGATCTAGACGTCAGTCTTGAAGAGCAGCTCTCCCTGGGCAACTTCGGCTTCCCTCACTGTCACCTGCACCCTGTGGTCCCCAAGACCCCAGGTGGCCCTGCTGGAGCTGCCTCATCTTCACCTTGGGCTTGGCCAGAGGATCCCAGCAGCACGTCCACACCATGTGCTGCACTGGCCACTTCTGCTTCACATAGAAATCAAGCACACTGTGCAGGTGACTCATGAGAACAAAAACAAAAAGAAAAAAAAATCTCAAAACCAATAACCAACAACAAAAAAACTGCAGCTAGAATTTCTTGTCCCCTCCGTTTCTTCCTCTTTCATAATTTCCAGAAAGAGGCAGCCCACAGGGAGTGATTTCTGTTGTCATGGGCCAGCCCTACCTTCATGCTCCATGAAGAGAAGAGCAACCTGGAAATGCATCAATCCAGTGGGCAACTTTTCTAAGTATTAAAGATGTCTGTGGTCAAAGAGAAAGGATGAAAGAAAGAAAATGAATGAAAGAAAAAGAAAGAGAAATAAAAAAATGGATAATGAAAAGGAAAAGGAAAAAAGAAAGAAAGAAAGAAAGCTGGAGCAATATTTAAAATCTGTTTTCCAGTGAGAACAAAATCTAAGAAAAACTTGTCAGCCTTCTTTCTGTTTGAGATTTTCATTTGACTTATTAGGAATCATAGGATCTATTGAAAGATAGCAAAGTGTTTGAATGTTGCCTAATGAAAGGCATTCCAAAGACAACAAAGAAATCTATATAGGTCAGATTGCTTTTTCTTGCTTTCTTTCATTGTTTTTTTTTTTTTGCTGTACAAAAGCTCAAGGGGATGGGAGTGCCCAAGTGAACCCCAGAGATCACTTGTTTGGCATACACAAAGCATGAAGGGAACAAAAGCAAGTGCTAAATCTATCAGCCCTGTGTTTTATACTCTTCTGGTGGAGGAAAACATATTGACAAGAAGAGGTGCCTTCAAGAAGTGTGGCTGTGGTGAAAACAGCCTACGCACCACTGAAGAAACCCTTGAAGTGGCCCAGCATGCTGCTCCTGGCCTCCCATCCAGGGATAGGAGCAGGAGGGCAGAGACTTCTTTTTGATTTTATCTCTTTATGGATTTGAATGCGTCCATCTGTGGGGCTTGATAGCAAACTCACTGTCCCCTTCCCCAGTTTTGACTGATTTTGATCTCTGTTCTTCATTCCTATGAATGAGCCATTCCTCTGGATGAGTGTGTCACCTCAGGACACTGCTCCCATTTTCTCCTGTGGTGCTGGGGAATTGAATTTTTAACATCTGCTGACAGTACTTCTCCTTGCCACTTCTATGCCCCAAAATTAATCATGGCAGTGTCCTAGCAGGACTGTATAGGTAAAGCATCCTGACAGCCAACCTGCTGCAACCTTGACATGAATGCAGCTTGGGGGCAGGAGTGCAGTAGAGCCATGCTGGTGTTTTTTCTCTCTCCCCTTAAAATACTTTGGAAAAATCTTTATTTTTTTGACAAATTGTGGAGTTTTTGTGGGCAAGAATCTAAGGTTTTACATAAGAAAGGGCAGAGAAACAAACTTTGGCCCTGTGCATGCGGGGTGTTTGCTGACAGTGAGTTTGGAGATTAATAGCCCCTGATGACAACAGTGCAAGTGGTAGAAATTAAGAGGCTTAAAAGAAGTTAGCTTTTCTTTCATTACAGACACAAGAGTATGATTTCTACACAATATTGCTTTTTCAGTTCTGGTATGTTACAAAATGCTCTAGTTAAGGAATCTTTCTTTTTTAAAGTTTATAGAGAACCTTGCCTTGAAGGAACCTCAGAGATGGTCCTTCATTTTCTGTGGCCTCTCTTCTCTGCCTGTTTTTCCTGTTTTGCCACAGTTTTGCCAAAAAGCTTCTCCCCTTACTTTAACAAGTGTCACCTGTGTCACAGCTACAGGCTTGTAGTTTCACTTGCCTTTCAGGCACTGTGAATGCTGGTATTTACCTTCTTTGACCCCACCCAAAATCTGCCTTTCCTAGCATCCAACATCCTCCTCCACTGAAGCCCAAGCTACTGTGTGGAGTGGCAAGTTCCATGAATCCTTTCTGCATGGGTTTTAAATTGGAAATAAAACAAACCCTCCAATGAAACAAAGCCAAATCAGTTCTTTTGTTCCCCAGCTGTGTTATCTCTGTGCTAGGCACAGCGGTGGATAATGTCAAAGAGTGAATGTGCTTGCAGTGGGATATCATGCTGCCACATGCATGGATTAATTTTCTCCTCTGTGCAACAGAAAGGCAGCCCTGCCTTCCCTCGAATCCCCTTTCATTCATGAGCTTACTAGAAGAGCATTCACTGAGAGTCCAAACCTAAGAATGTAATTATAGCAAGGCTGTTTTGAACATCTACCACAACCAATGCAATTATTTCTCCTATATTTTTACTTCCCTCCTTTTGCAATGGCCTCTTTTGCTACACTGTGGAGCAGGAGGGTTACATGAGCATATCAGTCCTCCCAGGCCTCATATTTCAGAGTACTGGGTAGATTTGTTAAATGCATTTCATTCCAGTAATAACCAAATAAAAGAAAATAAATTCTGGTGTCTTTTTGCCTTCCAAAGTTCTGTATTACCTGAAAAGTGCCATTCAGTAACTACTCTTTTTTGTCTTTCCACTGTGAGTTTCTTTTCTTTTTTCTTTTTTTTTTTATTTGAATCATACTTGCCAAGAAGCACACAGAAACCATTTTCTGAGATGTCCCAAAGTGCTCTCACTCTGGCAGAAGCAGCTCTATGTGGTTCATGAGGCAGTGTGATCACAGCCCATGTCACAGTGCCCTTGGAAGGAAGAATTTATTTAAGAATTTAAGATATTAAACACTGGGTGCTTAATATCTGGACTGACTCACCTGTGAGCACTGGAGAAAGCACAGGGGGACACGGTTGGTGTGTTCTTACTGGCAAAGGGATGAGCCACAGCTGGATTGCTTTGCTGCTTCCCCCAGCTCATGTAGGCTTCAGGGAAGAGGTAGGGGTTTCTGCCCCCGCTGGAGACTCTGTCTCTGCACCTCTATCCAAAGACAGCCCTTCCCTGAAGCACACCCTGGCAGCAGTGGCAGTAATAGTAACAAAAACACCGGTGGGAGAGCCATGGCTGCCGAACAGACATCCTTCTTTCCTATCCCTTATTTCTGGTGCCACTTGGCTGAGGTGGTAGGTAAGTTAGAGACTAGCAATTTGTAAATACCTTTAGGTAGTGTGTTTTAACATGACCAACACCATATCCTGACAGTGTAAAAAATAATACATTATGTGTAACACTATCCAGATAAGCTTATAATGTAAATATATCTATGATGAATGTCAAATTACACTTCAAGCTCTATGTATGAGGAAGAACCTCATCTCGAGATCTTTTTTAACTTAACAATATGAAAAAATTGTTATTCATTTATATATATACACATATATATTTAAAAAACCTGCATTCTTTTCTTTAAAAGAAAATACTACTGCAAGAAAAAAGGAATGCATTACCTGTATGTGATCTCCAAAATCATGTGGTAAAACCAGGACTGGTCAAATTCTTGATGCCGTACATTTGATCTCATATAAATAAGATAAGCACAAGTTTATGGTTAGCTGAGTAAAGCTGACCCACTTGATTATATATACATTATAGATATATATTTATATATTCTGTATAGATATACATATATAATACACAACATTCATACAGTGGAAGCAAAGTTTGATTAAGTTATATTAACTGGGAATTTGGATGTGATGTTGTGTTCCATTTGGAGGAAAAATTTCTGTGTTATTCAGCAGCATTTGTTATAAAAGATGAAGAAAGAAGGTATTTCATCAAAACAAGCCATGAAGGAATAAGATGATGAAGGTTTGAAACATTTTGAAGAGACAACTAAATTACATGCAATATATATGTATGTACTTCTGCTGAGTTGTATTCCTAGTTAAAGCATTGCATTAAACAGAGAATTATAATAGTAAAATTGTGTTTGAATGTGGTATTTCTACTTATTTGTGGTATTTCTACTTATCAGTACTGACTGAACTAGTCTGTAAATATAATGGTGATAGATGGAGAAAAATTGTTTTCCTACAGTAGCCACAGGCTGAGAATGCCTGTAGTAACCAGGAAAAAAAAATTCTAAGCTTCTTTTCCCTGACTTCCTTGGCAAGTGTGAAGTTCAAGAGAGGTCTGAAGTACAACTTCACCTTTTCTTGTTTTGTCCACATCTTTGTTCCTCCTTCAGAAAATGTTACCTTTAACCACAATGTCCCTAGAGCATTCTGACAAGGGCCTCCAATAAAAGCATTCCTCCAGATATTTCTGTCATCCAAGTATTGAAAGGGAATAGGTAAGATTCTTTTATAGCTGTCCTGTTATATCCAAGCAAAATAAATTTCTAACTTTGAGGGGAAATGACACCACTAACAACCAAATACTTGTTGAGTTCCCTTTGCCTTATGAATGCAAACCTGTCTGCATGGCATGCTCAGAAAGCATCTAGGAGTAGAGATAAAGAAATAAGGCGCATATTCAGCTTCTCTGGGTCCCAGGACACTGTTCACCACCACTTCAGAAGCAGACAGGGCTCAGAAGCAGCAAAGGGAGTGAGTGGGGTGACTGGAGACCATGGCTGCCCAGGTAAATCTAGCTTTTGGAGCACAGTCTATCAGTTTGACAAGTGATTGAAGAGGGGGTCTCTTAAGCATGGTGAGTACATCAGCTCTGTCAGGGTCAGGATACTTTTGTCCAGCTGCTACAGAATGAGAAGAAGCCATTTTAATAAAGTAGCCTATGTTGCCTTCTTTTTCCTAATTTTTCCTTTCTAAAATTTGAGGATCTTCACTGGTTCCACATTTACAGGACTTTACACCTGCCTCAACCTCTCTGTCAAAGATTTTCTGCCTCTGCCATTTGCTCTACTCTTACTTCAGCCCAAGCTCACCTTCAGCCATTTCACCATCCATCTTCACCTGCACCTTTCCACAATGAAAGCGAGAAAAGCCAGTTTTTCATCTGCCTTTGTCTCAGAGAAGTCAGATAAATTGATGTGTTAGAGTAGATTTATTTACTTGGCCTGTATTGAAACCCCCTTACACCCTGCAGAGCAGAGACTCTACTGGTAGGTTGTAAGGTGAGAAAATTTTAAGGAGTTGACCCTGATGGTCAAAAGATATTTGTGAGAATCACAATAGAGACACAAACAGGTACCTGAAATCTTTTCCCAAGACACAGCTATTTTCAGCATGCACATTTCTTATTTCTTACTAAGATCCACATTGTAGAAACATATAGCTAATGCTACCTGTAAATTCAGAGCACTGATGCTAAACTTTTGTTTATCTTCCCACACATATTTTGAAAACATTTTTGTCAGTGCTGTTTCTACACAGAAAAGATACATGGATATGCCAGATTACCTACCTGAGCCATTCACTCAGACTCACAGTTTCACCATCAGGCTGTGAGCAAAGTTACCTTTTTATTTAAAAGAGTAGAATCATGCTTAGCACAATAAAAATTACCACCCCAATCTTCAAGTACAGCCAGTAATATTTGCAGTTAATGTAATACTTAATAATGTACATCATCTCCCCTCTGGAGAGACATTTTGAGACAATGGCCACTAGTTCAGAAGTGTCTTTGTTAAGTGCTCCTCTTTGAGGCCATTTATTAGGAAAAATTAGGTAAAGTGTAGATACCTACTTCACCTTGAGTTCTGGGAGCACCCTAAGAAAATCAATACAGGGAAATGCTGCTATTTAGTAAATCCATTAACACTGTTTCTGGCCTTTTGCCAAGCATTACATGCACTGTCTAGACGTGGGAACCCACTTGGCAGCACCAGGATATTGACACCTTCTCCATGGAGCTTGCCAACTTCACTTCTGCCAACACACAGAATGAGGGAAAAGAATAAAATCAGTAAGAATGATATAGAAGGGTTTGAGAGACAAAAATATCCTTTTCCTTTTGCTCTCAATCTTTGTTCTGTCTTGCCACCCTCTCCTTCCTTATTTTGGTCCTCCTCCCTCTCCCTATCCCTTTCTTCCTTGCCTGTCTCATCGGCCTCTCCAGGTTTCTCTGTCTCATTAACAGCTTGCTAAAGGTGCTAAATAAACCACTACGGAATCAAAGCCTTTGGCTTAAAAATGCAGAGCAATGTAAGAGGAAAAGAGACAAGAAGGAATGCCTCAAAGAACTCTGGAGTTAATTCATTTAGTTTAGGAACCAAAGATTTTCCCTGACTCCCCCCATAATCACTACTATCATTTTGCCTGCAGTTGAAAAACACGTATAAACAGGGATGAGCAGAGATTGTTTAATCCATATGGCACAGGAGCAATACTCCTAAACAGAAGTATTGCCATTGGCAGCTGCACCAAATCATTTTCTGGAACTATAGACACAATGGATCTGTGGTTTTGCAAAATTCATCCTACTAAAATGCAACCTAATAAAAGAATAGGGGACAAGGTCAAAGTGGTGAAATCTCTCCAGCACAGATCTACCTTAGCTCCCATCACAGGTGGCGTGCAGGGCCAGGAGTGCCAGGAGCAGTGCCAGGAGCCCAAAGGAGCAAGAACTCTGTAAAAGTTGCACTCTTTGGGACAAATTAAGCTACTCTGGGGTTGTCTGGCCAGGTTGTCATTTTGGGTAAGAAGAGCTAAGCTTCTGCCAGTGTTACATATCTTTCAACAGGAAGGTTAGGCTTCAGCATTCCTGCCAGTAGCCAAGAGATAAGGATGAGAGGAAAATTCAGTGTGTACGGGCTTAGTTATTAAATTAGTGGATGTTCAGGATGTTCCACAGAAAATATAAACAAGACATATCAAATATGGACATCAAATCCCAGATTTTGTTATGCTTTCTTTCTAAAATGAAAAACAAATAAACCAAAAGTTTCCAAGTGTTTTAATTGCTATATTTTCCATTACAGGGAAAATAATTTCCTTGTATGGAAAAAAAGTCACTATAATTTTATAAAATGGAGGGTTGAAGTCTTTTGTTCATGCTGAGAAGACATAACAACTAGACAACTACAAAATAATGGTTCGGAGCTTTCTCGTGAAACTTTTTTCCTGCTATAAAATGCTGATTTGTTCTCTTTTTTTCCTTTGTGGGGAGGTGGGGTGGGTAATGCAAGAGAAGACTGAGGGAAGACCTCACTGCAGTTATAACTTCCTCATAAGGGGAAGAGGAGGTGCAGACACTTTGCTCTGCGGTGAGCAGTGAGAAGACCTGAGGGAATGGCCTGAAGTTGTGTCAGAGAAGGTGTAGGCCGGATATCAGGAAAATATTCTTCTTCCAGGGGGTGGTCAGACACTGGAACAGGCTCCTCAGGGAGGTGGTCAGAGCACCAGCCTCACAGAGCTCAAGAAGCTTTTAAACAATGCTCTTGGGCACATGGTGTGACTCTTAGGGATGGTGCTGTGCAAGGTCAGGAGTTGGACCCAGTGATCCTTGAGGGTCCCTTCCAACTCAGCTTATTCTGTGAATCTGTGATTTCAAAGGAACTCCTGGATTTGATATGCTCTAAGAAAAAAGGGGGATAAGTTTTATGGCTTATGCACAGCCTTGAGCAGTGGCCAACCAGAGACATGCATCAGGCTAGAGCAAGCATAAGCAGGTTTCCATAGCATTCCACGGAGAACAGGAATGACAATGATTTTTGTTCTGGGCATGCTTGGGTCAGAATCCAGAGCACACAATCAGCATGATTATGCTTTTAGGAACACTTATAGAGGTGCTCCTGGGACCCTGCAAAGAGGAATATATACTTTAAAAGATACATGATAAAAAAATGTGTTAATTCCTTGGCAGACACAGTTCAGAGTGGAAAGGGCTGAAAAGTGAAAGTCAATGGTGTTTGCAGAGAATTGTGAAGCCACAGGAAGAAATGAAGTTGAGGCATGTCATGCTTCATCTGCCAAAAGTAGGGCACCCTCCTAGGGGCAATGTAGAAACATAATTTTCCCTTATTTAAGGAGCCTTATTTAAATGGGTTGAAGGCCTCTTTGGACACAGTTTTTCTGCCTATACTGATGATAGGGAGAGCCAGGGTGACAGGCTCAGACAACCTTCTTTTGAACAGCTACAGTCAGAAGAGATGCTTCTTAGTCCCAGTGTGCACAGCCCCAGGGTTTCATAGGTTTTGTAGATGGAGTTGTAACTATAATTATAATAACTGGAGTTATGCTGGGAAAAAATGAGACAAGAAGTAGAGATGGGAGGAAAGACGAGAAATCCATTTTGCAAAGCTGCAAACTGTATGGGGAGAAAATAAAGTTGATTGGTTCTTATGCCTTTGCTCAGTACTCAGGAGTGTCTTTTATCCTGGGAGAGCATTTGATCCTTACAGAGCAACTGTTCTGTCCAGTTTTGCATGCCTTTGAACACAGGAGAGACACCTTTGAGCTAAGTTTCCTGAGGGCACAGGAGAGCAGCCTTCTTTCCTTATCCTGGGTGCAATGGTCGTGCCTGGCACGGACCTGCCCTTCTCATCCCTCTCAAAGGCTCTCCATGAGAAGAGAACAAAGCAATAAGGCAGAGAGCTCCAGTCTGGTGCAGTGCAAGCTGGAAAGGGCAGAGGAGGGGCTCTGTTAACAGGATCTGACATCCCCATCACGTTTTCTCCTCTCCATCACTCCCTATTAGCATGCACCCCATTGAAGGTGCCAGGAAAGCCACTTCACAATAACATCACCCCACGTGAATACTAACCTGGAATGAGAGGAGCCTTGCAAAGGGGAACTGAGAACATGATTGCAAAGGCCCAATGTGACAATTACCCAAAGGGCAAGGAAGGGACAGGCAGTAGTTTACATGCACTTTTTCCATTTCCTTCCACTCCTCCCTTATGCAAACTTATTGCATTTTGTACAGAAGCAAAAAATAAAATAAGTGATTTGGATTCAATTCCCTACAAGTCACTGCTCTTCCTGTTATGCTGGACACAGCATGGATGGATGGATAAGCATG